GTTTCCACAGGAGTCTAAGAGCTTTGACAGCTGTGTGGAATGGCATCGACATACTGTAATAGTCACTATGACACCTGCTCAACAGCCCCAGAAATTGATGCCTAAAGCTCACGTACAAATGCTGAAGTTGCCCGGAGAGAAGTGCAATCTGAGCACACAACCCTATCCTAGTCAGCAGTTTGTGGGGCACATGGTACGGGAATTATATATTCAAAAGCAGCTGTATTCTTCAGAATTATATTTTGACAATAAACAGTACAGTGGGCTCAATGTGTTTTTACCCCTGGGATTTGTATCTTGCGCATGACAAGAAAAGAAAAGTAACAGGAAGCAGCAGGAAAATGAAAGCTTCACTTAGGCCTTCTTTAGAGTTTCAGATTAAATGTTCTTGCTTTTTACTTTGTCTCCGGTATTGTATAGAAGGTCTGGCACATTCTGCTTAAAAAAGTGGAGTCCTTGGTAGCTCCAGGGAGCCCTCATGGGCCAGGACTGAGATTTCTTAAGTCTCCATCCTTTTGTAAGAGAAACACTATCTTCCCAGAAGTTTTAAGAAGGGAATGTGTCTGTTTATGTATAGGGGTAGATTTCGTAATGAAGGGAATGCCTAGTTATTTTAACAAAGGGAACCGTGTCCCCACCAACACCCCTATTCCCCCTTACTTTTAGCCTTCTTTATACTACATTGTGGTTGCGCTGTCTGTGGGTATGTGTGCAGTGGTCAGTTCCTAATGATTCTTGGACAACGAGAGGTCAGCCTAGCACTTACTAAATTCTTGAAACAACTCAAGTTGGGAAAACCCCTTAAACTGTAGCCCTGTGCTGCACATTGATTCCAGGATATAGTGAGTGAGACAGTTCAGTTCTCTGTCCATGCAGAGCAGAAGTGACCCAGTAACAAGACCTGAGCAAGCCTGTCATCATAAGGATATTCTGCATGTTAGGTTTCAAAGAAAAACATGTTTATAAGTATTTCAAGAGCAGGGTGTAAACCAATGGCTTGCAAAACTGTGATGACTAAATATTAATCAACACATGGAAACTGTCTATTAGAGTTTTAATTTTTTCCATATGCCTTTTAACCAAAGTTTCATTCCATTTTGAGATGGTTTTGTACTCCACAAAAATATTAAAAAGCAATAATAGATATAAACCTTCACTTCAAGGTCCAGAATTGCCCTAAAATAGTATTTAATAAGATTTGCTTTTAAATATGTGTCAGGTATGGGGCTGTCAAAATGTTAAATTTCATGGAGAGATTTACTGTACATTTTGAGCTGACTCTAATGATGAACAGGACATAAACAATAATTCATAAACCTGCAGTAAAAGCTCAGAGATGATATTGATGAACTTGTGCAGCTGGAACACCATCTGGGCTGTAAATTGTGTTGAGTTGTTGAAGTTGAAGTTCACATTTATCGCACAGGTTAGTGTTTAAATGTTAATGTTGTGTATGTGATGCAGACACTGTACTCTATATGAAATACTACGGCAGTGCAACTATTTTTTCATCTAATGTTTTGCATAACATATTTGTTCAATAACGTTGAGGGCTCTTGTCTTTATTATTTTGTATTTCAGTGCTGAATGTTAACATGTGTTATCCATGAAAATCCACAAAGCAGGGTCAGCGGATGTCTATAGTTATTTAGGTAATCCGAGACAGAATTGTAAAGAGTTACTAATGAGTGTGACCACCCATAAAGAGCTTTACAAGTATTTTTTAAATCTCTTAATGTTTTTCTTATGAAGCCAGTTGTTTCCTTTTATGTCCCCAGTTGTTAATCAACCTGATTGTGCCTCTGTGACCCATACAGTATATCTGGCATGGGAGGGATGAGAACTGTGCACTCATTCCCCAGAAACACACGCTTTCCAGAGCAATCCATTATTTTTCACACTGCAGGACACAGTAAGAGCCCAGGAGTGCACAGAGCTCACACCAGGGCACAAAGCTCAAAGCAGGGCACAGAGCTCACACCAGGGCACAAAGCTCAAAGCAGGGCACAGAGCTCACAGCAGGGCATAGATCCCAAAGCAAGGCACAGAGCTCACACCAGGATACAGAGCTCACAGGAGGGAACAGACCTCACAAGAGGGCACAGAGCTTGCAGGGTGGCACACAACTCTCAGGTGGGCACAAAGCTCACAGGAGACAGAGCTCACTGCAAGACTCAAAATTCATAGGGGGCACAGAGCTGACAGCAGGGCAAATAGCTCACAGAGATCACAGGAGGACATAACCATTACTGGAAGACACATAGCACTCATAGGAGGATACAGAGCTCACAGGGGTACACTGTACCCACAGGAGGGCACAGGCCTCACAGGGGTACACAGTACCCACAGCAGGGCACAGAGCTCTCAGAGCTCACAGGAGGACACAGAGCTCACAGCAGGGCTCGGAATTCACAAGAGGGCACAGCAGTGACTTTATGATGTAACTTGGACTGCAGTGAGGACTGGCCTGAATTGATTAGTGACATGAATATTATTGCAGCCCCATTCTTTAGAAGAAGACAAGTGCCAGTTTGCTTCATTTTCTTGCCACGAGAATCTGTGTTATATTCTGTGCCACTCCTAAGCAGACATGTAGCACATCACCATATACTTCAATACAGGTTTAGGAAATTGTGGCGTGCCCAGTGTGGACGCATCGCCTTTGTAGTCCCGGCTGTCCTGGCTTCTAGATGATGAGCCACAGCTGGGCGGGTCCTATAAAAACACACTGGACATCCCGAAGGGACGAGCAGGGATGCCCCCAGGAGGGGGAGTTTTATATCGACAGTCCTAGAGGGGATTGCGCCCATGTAATGTTTTCTTTTTCTTTTTGCCTGTCCCATCATGTATTTTCACCAGGGCAGGCACACACACGCACACGCACACACACACACACCTTTTTCACACACACAGTTCTTGTTTTGTTTTTGCCTTATGCACCCTGCTCTACCAGACTGGACCCTGCTAAATAGGGTAAGCCCAGCCTGGACGCACAGTGGTACACTTCCTTTTTGCTTTTTGTTTATTTTTCACTGTTTTTGTATTATTTTTGGCCCCTGCCAACCTCACACCGGTGCTTCTGTCCCCTCACCCAGGGCCCGAATTTTTTACCGGTGCTCGCCGCTGCGCCTCCCCCACTGCACTGTCACAAAATGAAAACTATACCAATGAGTAATGACATGATCAGTGCAAACGCAGCATAATTAAAGTCAGCTGCACATGAAAGATTGAGATGATGAGTTATTCCTTGTGGTTTTAAAGCAAACAACCCCAAAGAATAAGAAACTCAATAAGGTACTTATTAATTCTATTAGCATTCAGGGCATGATGGCAGTGCAAGTGGCTGGTGATTAGGAGTGATGTCATCATAACTGGTCAAATCTCTTCAGACAGAACCCCTCAGAGCCATATATTTTATTCACTATGGAAAAAACATAGCCCATTACAAGGCAAGGTAAATGAAAACATGCAGCAACAATGTGAAAAGCATAATCATATGGCTGCTTGAAACACAACCCTAGCATTTTGCATCATTTAGCAAAATGTTTAACAGGTGTTCATTTTATCTTTTGGTATTATTCATAATCATATTTACATAATACATTGTAATGTAATTTACATAATATATGTAAATAGCATCACATCTTGCATTTGTGCTAGTTCCGTGGACAATTCACTTTGTAGTCTTTGTAGACTTATTCCTGGTGTCCTTGTGGGCTGGGCTGGGAGTTTTAAATATTGGGATGACAGGGTCGCCATTGCAATCTATATTTTAAAATATCTTTATTTGAACAGTAACTACATCAAGTCAGTTCTAGGTTAATACCAGTGCTGGCATGCCTGCAATAAAACTTGCAGGCCGTTACTAGTATTGGGCTTATCCAAACTGATGATAGTCACACTTTCTAGAGCTAAAACAAGTATCAACATTTTTTTTCCCTTAACTTTTACTATAATACACATTTATGCATTATAAATGATGTAAGAGTAACTAATGTAAACAAATGTTAAAGTTTGATTGTGCAATAGCATTTGTGCTTAACTTTATATGGAGTATATACTGTATATCCTGAAGTGTGTCTCTTCTGGAGATATACAGTACTTTTTATGATGCTGTAGCCAATCGGTGCTGGCGAGATAAAGACACAGCCTGTCTCGGCTGTGGCTGGCTGGTCTTCAGGAACCTGCTCAGCTGGGCCCAAAGTCAGATAGGTCTGGAATGCTAATAATCTGAAGCACTGCTTTTTAATTGTACACAGGTGGAATTTCCGTGCCACAGTAACAACAGTGACCTTTGACAAGGCTAATTATGTACATAGTAGGGAAATATTATGTGTATGTTCTTTGAGCCAAGTGTTTTTTGTAAAAACCGCATTGTTTAAAAAAAAAGTCAACATCATTATTTTGGTACAATCAGAACTAACACACAATGTTTTCAAATATTATGGTGTTAATGTTATCTGTTGACTTCAGCATAAATGTTGTCAGTTAAAGTGGGTTTTTCTGAACATGTTTACAGTATGGTTTACCATTGTCTAAAAATGATCAGTCTGTTAAATAACATAAACAGACTGGGTACTGCAGTACACTTGATACCAAAGCCATTCTGATATTTTGATACTTCGGTGAAAAATTCAGCTTTCTGACTATGAGTCATACCGTGTGAATCCAAAACATGCACAAGCTTTATCTTAGAATTTTTGGGTTCTGCGCAGAGTCTTGCATCTGACAAACTGATTCCTGACATATTGCAGTGGTCAGTGACGATAAAATAGTACTCTATACTCTTGGCCATTCAGCCTTGGCTATTACAGACATCACATGGAATCTAGAATGCTATTTTAACCCATTGTTATTTCCTTGGTTTGTTTAATTGGGGTGGAGAAGTACAAATATTGCTATGATCTTTTTAGAAACCATACAGATTGCTCGTATGTGAAAAAATCTAAAATGAAAAACTAGGCATTCTCCAAGGGCCTTATTGTGTTTTTCCCTTTCAGTTTGAAGGGTGCAAGAAGGCTTTCTCCAGGCTGGAGAACCTGAAGATTCACCTGCGGAGTCACACGGGAGAGAAGCCGTACCTGTGCCAACATCCTGGCTGCCAGAAGGCCTTCAGCAACTCCAGCGATCGGGCCAAACACCAGAGAACACACCTGGACACTGTAAGGACAGCATGCGTGCCTCCTCCGTGCACAGCCTGGCAGCGTTGTGGTAACTTGTGAAACAGGAGCTCAGAACTAGAAAAACAGAATTGGGCTTTTATCAATAATACTATTAATTAAGACTCAATTAGTAAAGAGAGACCTGACTCACTTTGTGTTAAGTCCACACCTTCAAGTGCTCAAGTGAATAATCTTTCACCTATGCGGTTAAAAGCTAACAAGAGAAAATAGTGCTGGTTGCAAAGTGGGGATTTCTGTTCTCTAATTAAGGTCTTACTGGGGAAAAATAAAATGGTATTTCTCCTCCTGTGTTATCTTTTCAACATAAAGAATACATCTGATGATGTACCTGCGCAGGTCTTGCACACAAACCATTGTCAGGCTGGTGCTCTTTTACAGAAGCCATATGCTTGTCAGATTCCTGGCTGTGCCAAGCGCTATACTGACCCCAGCTCCTTGAGAAAGCACGTGAAGGCACATTCCTCCAAAGAACAGCAGGCTAGGAAAAAGGTAAGGAGCCCCAGTTACACGGTGTGCCATCTGTGGCTTAACCTATTTTTCTAATTCTGGGTGATTTTTCTGACCTCCTTATCCCCGGTCTCCTTTCGTGTTATTGTGATGATAGTGATGACGAGTGTGGATGTTGTTTCTGACTCCCTAGTGAAATCCATTAAAGCCGAAAAACAATTGTTTTTCAGAGAAGGGTGATGTTAGAACCCAGACATGCTGGTTAATGGGTTGCTGTTCCAAAGAAAAATGTTTTAATCTGTGGATTAAAAAAACAAACAAAAAACAAATGCGTAGCAGCAGTGCGTCTGGCAGAAAGGGCCAGTTAGAGGAAGATGAGAAGAGATTGTATTAATAATCTGGGGGGATGATGAGGATCACTGCAAAGGTCAGGCTGTTCAGTTTTTTCACAATTTGTCTGTAGCAGGAACAAACAGAAGGGATTGAGAATCACAGGTTCCACTCTAGCGCTGTGTAGTTGAGACGGATGACAGTGTGTCAGTCTGTCCAGTAGCACAGCAAAGTCTAATCAAATAGTTGAATAGAAATATAAATCATAACAGTTAGGGAATAGGGAAAAAAGTGTAGAATCAGTCCTTCATTCACAGTTAACTCCTTCATATCCAAAGGCAGGTCTTCAGTTTCAATACAAATCTAATTCAGCCTTGCATCTATAAAAGCTGTAAAATTATACAGTATGCAAATGTAATATTGACCAAATGAGTACAATGTTATACAGTATATTTACTCTTCTTAAACCAGTAGGAGAATTAAAAAGTCTTTTTGAAAACTTTGGAGAAGTATTTTTCTTCTGGGCTAGAGATGTGTAAAGCATGTAGCTCTGAGCCACCAGCAGCGAGCTCTGCTCCAGAAGACAGGTCTGCTGTCATGGCAGATTTCTACAGTGTGTTTCAAGGGGGCAGCGTAACATGTAACATGCTCCATTGAGACTTGTTGCATATGATTTGTTTCAGTGCCCACCTAGCATTCCCTTCCTCTTCTTCCCTACTGCCAGCACTTACAGTACCTTCAGTGAAACTTACTATGTGACACTATTGAGCAACTACTATACATTCTGCTGCTCAGTTCACTCTGATTTTACAAAGATATTCCATAGAATTAGATTTAATGCCTCACATACTGGGATGTGAGGATGGGGCAGTTAATCCTGTTTAAGGCTATAGATATTAGGCGGGCCTGATCTCACCTGATTTAGATTATGCCAATAGCTTTGCAGTCTGGTGATTAAGGAAAGAGGCCATTACCAGGAGGATCCAGTTTCAAGCCGCCCAGCTCTGCCAATGACTCACTGCATACTGTGCAACTCTGTGAGAAATTCTCACTGAGCTTTTACTCTTTCTCCTAGAAGAGATGTCAAACTGTAGCTGTTGACACACACTTCTCCCCTTTCGTAGCCTCTTTTATCAGCTATGTGACTAATAGAAGGCACCCCAGGACCTTTCTGTCTTACCTAGCATACAGGTCAGAGGGAGGTCAAGCAGACCCCAGACTTGATTCACTAACATTTCTACGGAACACATTTTAATCACATGGCCGGTATGGCCATCCTCATGGAACAGGGGTGATTGCCAAGTGTTTCCAGGAATTGTGCCACATCATCCTTTTCCCTTCTGTGGCTAGCCCAGTATTTTGGAAATTGTGTCTGTGAACTGCATCCCTGTCCTTGCCCTCTTCAGCGCTCCTGTGTTCTTGATGGGATGTAGCACAATTCGCACAGGCATGAGAATGATGTTGCTTATGATTTGAAACAATGGTAAATTATGTAAGGTTTTCATGTGGCAACATTTGTAATGTAAGCAAATCTTGGTTACAGGAATTAAATCATGGCTTTGGCAGCTGTGCCTTTTTGTTGGCAGCTCAATTAAATCAGAAATGATGTACACAACACTGTGCATCTGAGCTCTTCAAATTACTAAAGTAAAAAAATTGGCAGGGCCATTTTAAAGCCATTTATTGGCTGTTTTGCAAGAAAAAAAGACAAAAATGGTGTCTGAACAAGGCTGCGAGCTTTATGGATTCTTGTACTTTGATCTTTTGAAAATGGAATGGAAAGTATCCTGGATAAGCCTCTAGTGATGTCCATTTTCATGTGTGCTAACAGCCACTAGACTTTCTATTAATGATTGAACATAATAAAGTCCTGTAGAGTCAGGTGTAACAATCTATGCATGGCTGGAGTTAGTTATCATATATGCTTCTGTGATTAGAAGCTATTCATGCACGCACAGCTGTCTTTATACAGTGCCTTGCAAAAATATTCAGTTCACAGTTTTTTCTTTTTCCACTCACAGTCATGACACTTTGAATTAGCAATTATTGTTTGCTGTATACATAACCTACTCCACAAGTTGATATGAAATATGAATATTAATTATGAATATGAAAGAAATGGAAAAAGTCCTATCATGTCATATATACAGTAAATGCATATGACTAAATTTGAACCCTTTGCTGTGGCAAGGTGTGCAAAATTACTTTAACCTGCTACACAATGTGGTTAATGGCCTCTGTCTGTGTGCAATGATAGTGATTTACTGTACATGATTTCAGAATAAGTACATCTATCTCTGTAGGCTCCCATAATGCCTCCCTTAGGCAGGTAGTGAATTTCAGATTCAACTGTGAAGACCAAGGATTTTTCAGAGCAACTCAGAGTAAAAGTTGTTCAAAGGCACAGGCAGGAGAGTATATAAATGTATAGACGACCCTTAATATCTTTTTGAGCACTTCCTAGGTCAGGTCCTCCAGAGGCAGCAGGGACAGTGATGAGGCAAGTGAGAATGAGCACAGGCACATGCTGCTACCAGCCACTCATGATCCTGACTTTGCAGAATCCATTCTTGTTGAAAAGACTGGTGTAGAGTCTTTAGTCTGAAACATTTGGATTCCCCATCTTGTGGGGCTGTGCTGTTTGGCTCTAGCATGATAACATTATTGTACTGAAGCCAAAAAAAGGCTGAGCCCTATAGTAAGGCACAGATTCATTAAAATAATATGAAACAGCATGTCATAGGTCATGTATGCAAACCGCAATCTCTTCTTGAAGGCTTAATGCAAAACAAAATCTCTATTAGCACAATTATTGAGGTGACTCTGTAAATATGAATAGAATTCTTTGAATTTTTCTCCCACTAAGTCTACTATCTACTTTTGCATTTATTAATTGCATTTATTTAGCCTTCATTTTCTCTTTAAATTCAGCATAATGGCACTAGAGATAACACACAATGCAGTAATCAATGTAGTATACAAAGTTAGGCTCAGATTTGACTCTCTGTCATAGGCACACACAACCTGCACAACCCAGGTGATCACCAAATTCCCTTCACAAAAGATCTGGCCGTTGCTAGGCACAGTCTGAATGGTGTGAGAGAGCAAGAGGAGTAACATGACTAAAGTGATGTCATTGGTTCAGGTCATGATAATATGGCCAATAACTGCTACAGTTTCCTTGTTTCATCTCTGTGGGAAGGACTGAACTGCTGATTTGACTAACTGACTCAGCAATGCAAAATGCATCTTCTCTTCTTGTGGTATATATTCGTAAAACCTCGGTGCCCTTTAGACATATGCAGGATTCAAACCAGTATTAGTGCCTGCTGTCTGTACTGTAATATAATTTTACTGGGCAAAATAATTTAAAATGCACAAAACTCCCGCAGGTTGAAATCTGTAAGATTTTAAGAACTGATAATGTGGAAACAAATGTTCTTACAGTATGTAAACTCTCTTCACATCAACACTCAAGTGCAAAGTGAAGTCTTCTGCTCACCCAAGAGATTGATGCTTTGATTCTTACACTAAAATTTCTGATGCATGCAAAGTCTGTAGCACAAGGAGAGAGAAATGAAAAGCAGAATGTGAAAGCAACAGTCTAAGTGAAACCTTAGGTAGACCTTGGTGGACCTTCCACTCCTGACTCCTTGTTCCTCTCCAGTTGTGGTATTTAAAATATTTCCTGGCCATGGCAATACAAACATCAAGAAACAATCATCCCTCTATGCCAGAACTAAGGTTATTTACGGCTTTAATTAAAATGAAGAGGTGGCATGTTGTCAAAGAAACGTGAACAGAAACGTGAATTCATAATAAAACTATTTCAAAAAGGCACCATAAAAATTCCGATAAAGGCACCGAGAAACAGTGGTTCCGCACGCTGTCTTGAAAAGAGTCAGACTCCTCTGCTGTCACACCCTGTTAGTCACGGATCCTTTTAATATGTGCCACTTCTAATCCTCTTTCTCTTCGACTGCAGACACTTCATGACATTATTTCAGTACTGAGAGCCAGTTGTGAACATACTGAGAGTTTATTAAAATCCCCCTAGTCGGGGGAGGCAAAAGACATGTTGTTTGAGCTCATTTTAAATGAGAACATTTTTTCTTTTTTCTGTGAGTTTAGAAAAACTGGTTCTTAGATCTGTCAGAAACAGAACTTATAGTGTATGTAGTACATGCCGAAGTGATGTTGGGTGGTACGGAAAATGTACAACCGTCTACAAGATACATCGAAAAGAATTACAGGTAATGAAATCTACTGTAAGTTGCAGCTAGTTTTTACCTAGAAATCTGAATTTAAAATGTAGTGACTGATGGAAAATTACCTATGCTGATTCAGGTTAGTGTTTGGACAAATATTAAAACTAGCAGGAAAAGTGTGTTGAACTGGTGTTACAAAGGGAAGAAAAAGTCTCTGATTGAGTTATAGTAGCACAATGACTTGAGATTGGTGGTTGTGGAGACTAGCTTGGCTTCAACCCATCCAGCCCCTGCAATATTCTGCTACTTGTATTATCACTGCTACTTTCCACTGTGTTGTTGGCACTCTTGCTGTTATTTTATGTTCTCATATCCAACAATTTGTGTTGTCACTTTTTTATGTCATTTCTTGTGTCCTTTGTTATGTGAAGAAACATGCAAGTAACCATTCCATTGTACTCGGGTACATACACCAGTTAAACTGAAACTGGTTGAGTAATATTA